AAAAAAAGGCCCAAAACTCTGAATATAAATAATGAAGGCAGGAAAATTATACAATTTATGAGCAGTGCAGCCATACAACACACATGCAATGGAAGGCAATTAAATGCGTCAACATTACAGAATCAAAAATACAAGTGATTTTGGTGAGAGCGAAACTGCACGAGCATAATCTCATCCACTTTCCGCGTTATCCTCAGCCAATTCGCTACTCTGCAAATCATCAGAGAAAGCATAGAATAGATATCATGAGATGCCTCATTAAGTGTACAGAATCAAGCTATAATAAATAGGAAGGATTGAAGTCAGTCACCTTTCTTGATATAGCGCCTGGTGTATTTTCGCGAGGCATAATTTCACGCTGTAATGATACCCATCACAAGACACAGGAAATATCAACACAGATTGAACAGATCGCGGGACGATGCACACAAACCCACAATCGCAATACCAAGACGATCTTCCTCCAGCTCCTGGTGAGGCTAATTTACGAATCAAATCCATCAGCAATTTCAAACTAAACTAAAGGCACAAATTGCCTTTTATTTTGTTTTTAAGGATGAAATGTAAGGCCTGATCTTTAAAAGCATGTTTTCACAGTATGGAATTGCATGGTTTAGATAGCGAAGGAGAGAGAACGAAGAGGAGAGACAAAGATCGAGAGTGAAATAGATAATTATGGGATAACAGGTCACTACACATATCCATGGCTTTCAAGGTCAAGCAGACCAATCCAAAGGGGAACATCATACTGTAGAGGCGTTACCGAGACGACCAAGCAATAGTGTGTAAACAAGAGTAAAACACCGAGGTCAGTTAAGACCGGCCTGTGCAGATTGGCGAGAAAAAGGACTTTATAAGCAGCCGTTTGCTGTTGCCTTTTTGAATAGAAGCGGGCATCGCCAATTAGGACGGAAGAATGAAGGCAATGCATACATGGAAGTAGAGGAGTTACCAAAGAGAGAAGCAAATAAATATGATAACATCCTCTCCAAAGACAACCTACAGCACGTCCTATTCTTATCCAAATCAGTTAACAACACACAGGAAAAGTGAAAGCAATCCAAGCAATAAATAATTGTTAAGTTAGAAAGAATTAAAACAAACGATTGGATCGCCATCTAGAGATCCTTAATGGAGTAGCAGATATTTTGATGTAGCTCGAAGAAGTATCCAATTCAAGGAATAAACAAATCGCGCAAGAATTCAATTCACATAATAAAGCAAGGGAGATTCTATAATAAAACAGGTAATTTAGTACGATTCTAAAGGGGCCAGAATATACTATTATATTTTATGGTTTAAGTGACGTTAAACAGTTTTAATTTTTTTCTACACTACTTCCAAAGTTGCATGCACACATTAACAAAACACGCAAACACACTCAAATATGTCAATATGCGTCCGTTTATAATGATGCTGTCACCTAAAACAATTTATCCAGGAGCAATTGAAAAGTAGAACTTTATTTCTGCAATTAATTTCACCACCTTATACATCCATAAGATATGAAAGGTGTAATGACATTACATTATCAAAGGATGCTTAAAAACCCAAGTTTGTATAATTTTATAAGCATAGAAATTTGAATCACCCCAGGTTGCTTAGGTTTATACAAGGCCCCACAATAGTACTGACTGCTAACTACCTTTAGAATTAGAACTTTAGACATCTAAGATCGAGTAAGATGATGTAGGACGGAACTTTCCCAAAATAAAATGAATAGCATAAATCAGGATTCTATTGAACGTCACGTAGCTTTGCTTTACATAAGGCCTTTTCATCCAGGCTAGACTGCAGATTCGACCTCGTCCCATTACCTCCACAGCACACCATGGAGTTGTACGAATAGTCGCAAGGCGGTGCGCCGAGGACCTATTTGGCACAAATCTGCAATCACAGTTCCCCTTGAATTGTAGTTCCCAAAATCACAATTATGAATCCCTTCCATTCACCTCTTCAAACAAAATTAAAGGTGCTCCAACATTATTCTATTAAGGGATTTTTCGAAAACCACTTTTTCCACATGTCAAAGAAGAACTATAGTTAGACAGATACAATAAGGAAACAAACAATATTCCTTCGCGCACATTATCTAGGAATGAGTAATTTTAAAAGACTACATCTATAACTAAAAGCATAGCATTATAGATGCGAAGAAGCTGGGTTTCAATGAATTTCTTAAGCTAACATTGTTAGAGAGACTTCAATTTTATATGAAAAGATAGGTTGGTTGGTTGGTCTTACCGAAAGACAACGGCCGATTCCTGTTGTTCTGCAACCAGTTGGCTTTAATACGGCTGGAGAACAATGAGAATCGGCCGTCGTTTTCCGGTAAGACCGACCAACCATTTCCTCATTATGCATTTTCATATGAAATGAAAGTCTTTTCAACAATGTTAGTCTAGGAGGTTCGTCGAAGCCCAGCTACTCTTCGCAATCTATAATGCTATGCCTTTTAGAATAATTCATTCTTAGAGAATGTGTCCATTTCCTTATTGTACCTGAGGAAAAGGGATCACAAGGAAGAAAAGGGTGAAAAAATTTAGGAAATAGAGCGATGTTTCCGTAAGTGTAGTCTACTCGAAGAAACAACTACAACTTTGAGGTCCTGGTGATCAATTGCCCAAAAAGATGAATAATCACAACCGCCACAAAAATTCGGCCTTATAGCCAGATTGGCTAGAAATCCACTCGAGAGGTAACAGGCGATCAGAGATAGAAGTGCAATTACCAGTCCTTCATCACCTTAAACGAAATAAGGTGAACACAACTCATGTATAGAAGTGCACAGTTTGCTCAGGGTACATGGGTTTAACCAAGTAGACGACCTGTGAAGGCAATGCCTAATATCTGCAATCATGGGAATCAGAGCCTAGCCACTCTGTAGGTGAGGCGGGATTGTACGTGCTACTGAAGGCTTGAGAAATAGCGCCTGTACAAAAAAGTACAATCGGGCTGAAACCGAATGAAATAGTTCAACTAAACAGATAAGAAACGAATCTATGGGCCGATGAGGCAGATGTGGACAGGGAGCCCAAATCGGAGGGAAGAGGGAGCAAGGCAAACAGTAGGTGTGATGACGCCGTGGTAAATTCCCCAAATGACACCTTTTGCGAAGTGGAAGATAAACAAGTTAGAAATCGTGATAGGGTGAGAGTGAGATAAAATGGTAGAGAGTAGATAGAGGGGTCAGGGTAGAAAAAGAACTAATATCACAACAGTTTGGTAGAAAGTTGGTCAGTGGATTGACTTCATTTGTTTATTTGACGAGTTGCAGCTTCGTGCTCGGATTAATAAGACTCACTGTCGATGTTGGTGAAACGTCTGTGAATGTACCAAGTCCATGGTCCGACAGGGAATTATGATAGCTACTGTAGCAGAGGACTTCCAATTAAGTCGCCCTGACAACACGATTAAGTTACGAAAACGAGGTCAGATCACATCTATACATTACAAGGAGACTGCGACCAAAAATAAAGACCATAACAACTTGGTCTTCGTATCTACATTCAATGGTTTGGGTTTTAGTTTGGAAGTGTTCAAATGCCCAGAATAAAAGTGATTTTCGGATAGTTACATATGTATTTATTTACCAGCAAAATATTGAGCGAGAATGGAGGATAATTAAGGGTTTTATCTTAGCAAAAATGATAAAGGATAAGTAATCCGATGAGAATGAATTTAAACCTCATGTATAAGGAATATCAAAACTGAATCATGATACTCAAACAATGCTTACTTGGGAACAAAGTAGTCCATGTAAGTTAGTGCCAAATGAGGCAACAAGTTCCTCAACTTGTCCACGAGACTCAGGTCGAGAGAGGAGCTCAGTGATGAGGAGACGAGCCTTCGTGTCTTGACCATGTGCTAGGTAGTAGCGCAGCCTGTCAGCCAAGCCAACAGCAGATGCTATTGCTTCAGAAATGGTGTTATGTGAGCTAGGCATACCCCCATAGGTCGCTAGAAGTGTGGATTTGGAGTCATTGAATTTCGGCTTTGGTGGAGTCTCTTTGGGCGCCCTAATAGGGGCCGCAAAAGTGGCGGGGACGGAACATGGTGGTCGATTAAAGACTCCGGAAGCGGAGGAAACCTGGACTTTGGAGGCTTGTGCCTTAATTCGATGTGGAGAAACATCAAAAGTCGTTTGTTGTCGTTCTGGAGAAGGATCATGACCTGGTAGCTAATATAAAATAGTTAGAAGGCCAAAAATATGTAGTGAAATTTAAAATTTTAGGTATAAATAGGTTTTGGGGCCTACACATTATGGAAGAATTCTGCTATCAGTTCTTAAATCCCCTTATTCGACCAAGTTCTTACTCAAACTCAAAATGTCAAAGGAGGGAAAATGAAAGATGCAAAATAAAGAATAGTAAGAATTGCCTAGCAAAAGATATTAATTGAGTAACTAGGCTGTAGATAGATAGGCATACTTCGTTTCCAGATCCTCTGAGATAGAATCTATCGCCTTCCGCCTCCATAGCAGATGGAGATTCATTAGACGGGGCAGAATTCGAATCTGACGTGGAAAGTGAAGGTGAAGAAGAGACAGAAATATGCCTCTGTAGGTGACGCAGCGGTACACCTCGAGCTAGTTCCGGCTCCAAGGACCTCACTCGCGGAGAGGAACGTCTCGACAGAGTCCTTCGACTGCGGCGACGACTCCTCCTCGCAATACAGCCTTCCGAAGCAATTATGGAAGATCCACGCATCGACTGTTTTCCTGTTCTATTGCCGTGATTATTAGGATCACTAGAGATGCTGGTTGAAATGGAAGAAGTTGAACCTGATGATGCAGTGGAAAGGGTTGATGATGGTACAGTTCGGGAGGGAGTGAATGAGCGTGCTGTCGTGGCGGAAAGTGAGTCGGTGGGGTGTAGGCACATCGGTGGAGTCATTCGATGTTCATTGAGCAAAGAGGCCGGCTGAAAAGACACTCCATTGAAGGATGAAATCTCATAGCGTCTGGCAGAGCTGGGAAATGGAGCCGAAGATTTGGGCAAACTTCTAGCAATTTCGGCTATCGGCTGGGAAGAATCCTGACCGGCCGTGAAAGGCGTCATC